AATCTAATTACAATAACACGTTATGTGAATAATATGAATAAGTATGTGAAAACATAATAACGAAATATTAAACTTTTTAGAACGTAACGTTATATAAAAGTATTATCATGAAAATACAGTTGGTCAAAAAAATAGCACATTTTTTAAAACGAAAAAACTTTTTTAAAATTGAACCACTCGACTTAAATTTTTATGAGATGTTAGAAGGACTAGTTTACTGAATGATAAAAAGATAAACAAATTATGTTTCTCAACTTTTTATCTGAAGCTATGACGAAAATTTAAACAATGCATTTTGTAGATCTCTATAACGTATATGCATGCTGAAAATTGTACCAAAATTGATTAATGTTGTTATGAACTACAGACAATTTAAGATAGTGAAAATCACGGCTCTTCACGCCTTTCGACCAATAAATGGAATAAATCTAGAAATTTTTACATTTCTCAATGACTGTAGATTGTTTCTGCGTCAACACATTGTTTAAATTTTAATTGTAGGCTCAGATAAAAGAATCAAGAAAACATAATTTTGTTATTGTTATAAATGTTTCATTTTTTAGTAAACTAGTTTTTTCAACATCTCAAAAAAAGTCAAGTTATTTAGTTTGATTTTTAAAATGTTATTCTGTTTTGAAGGATGTGCTATGTTTTTGTGATCGACTGTACTAATAATATCATGGCAGCAGCCATATACAATAATTGATTACAAGACTAAATAAGACGATCAAACACACCTGCTCTAATTGATTGATCTTATCTTTCAATTGTGATACATGCTTGATTCTCTGTTTATGATTCTGATGGCCAATTATTTCTGCATACTTTTCACTAATCTCTTGATGATCATTCATGAGACGCGCATTGTGTTCACGAAGTTTTCTAACTTCCCTAAAGCAATAAAAATAAATTATTGCATTATATAATGAATTTAATTATTCAATCAACAATTTGTGTTAAGAAAACATACTCTTCCGCTGCTTCCCGACGTACTTTTTCTTCATTCAATGCTTCAGTCTTATTTTGCATAGAACCATTCCTCTCCTCAAGGATTCTAATTGTATTCGAAAGTTCTTGAATCTTTTCGTTCGCCTTAAAATATAAGACAACCGTAGATATCACAATAATCTACTGCAACAATTATTACAGAAACATATTTTTTTAAATGTACCTCGTCCATGGCAATCTTATGTTTTACAGATTGCGTTTCAAGCGAATGATTAGCTTCCTCCATTGCTAATTTACTTTTCTTTAACTGTTCGTTAAGTTTATAATTAAACAATTCCACTCTTGAAATTTCAAGCTCCTGAGCATCGTTCCATTCTTCCAATTGTAGTAACATATCTCGTGCTCCATTCAGGTGATTGGCCATTTCATGTAGTTGACTTCTCATCTGATGTATCAAATTGGAAACAGTTAAATGTTTAATAATTTCCCAAATATATTGATAAAACAAAAGAAATAGAAGTACCTCGGCATTTTGAGCATCTTTTGCTTCACAATCGGTTTTTAACTTCGTTACTTCTTTCGCCACTATTTGACTCAAATCTTCGATTTTCGATTCGAATATAGATCTGACCGATTCAACTTCGTTCAATGTTTCGACTTCCAGTTCATTGACTAATCCCTTTTTAGCATCTAATTGCTCCATCAAGGCATGCACTTGTGCATGTACTATTTGTGAATTATTGCGCATAATGTTTAATAAATCTCGATGTTCGGTTATGTAGTCCTCTCCACGTTTTAATTCACGTTGCAGTCTTTCTACTTCAACATTGCTTTGCGCTAATCGTTTAGTCAAAGCGGCCACCGATGCTTGATTGTCTGCCATTATGACTTCAAATCTACGCAATAATTGAACATTTATGGCATCGCATATACGAGGTCATTACGCAGGCATATTCAAATATATTTTTCATCCTACTACAAAGCATAAATGCTGTTTACATAAAAAATAATGATGAACTCAAAAACATTAAAAGAAACATGAATAAACAAACGACTTTTCTTCCACGATATTCGTCTTTGAAATCTATCGAAATTGTGCTACAAACATATTTCATAATGTAGTGTATATATGCATTTTATAATAATAAAGAATACCTCTTTTTTCTAGCCACCATCTCTGCTGCTTCTGTACGTATCTGATCTTTCAGAGCCCTCAATTCTTCCTTTTTTTCTGCCAATTCAGTTTCTGCTCGATCTAGTTCCATTTGCAAACTTTGACCAAAGCTCTCCTACATTTTGTGTATCATTTTATTTATTATTCATTATCTTCAATATCATAATCATTACTGCTGTTAATTCTCTGTTCAAACATAAATTACCTGAGCTTCCGCAGAGGTCTTCAAGTCCTCAAGAATTATGGAGAGTCTAGAAATTTCAGCATCTTTTTGCAATAATCTTTCGTCCAATTCCGCCCGTTCCTTTTCTAGCCGAGATAAACATATTTTATACCTTTCTGCCGTCAGTCGCATTTCTTCTTCTACAGCCGATGTAGCCTCCCGAATCATTGTGTTCACCTGTGTTATTAATAGCATCCTTATAAGACGTGATTGCGGATACCATAGAGACCAAAAACATGCATCGAACATCACAGCGAAGAACGTAAAGTCAAATAACAATCAAAAAGTATTGTGCAATGCGATCGATAATCTCACTTGAGCATATTCTTTTCTAACGTCTCAAAAGTGACTTCTACCGATATTTAGAAAAAGGATAATCAGTGATGTTTTATTATTATACGCACTTGAGAGGCGCTTACTTTGTCGTCGTTCTCGGCGATTGCTTTCTTCAGTTTTTCTTCGCATTCGGCCAGTTGATCAGTTAAACTACTAATTCGTGAATTTAAGTCCAATTTTTCGTGTCCCAACAGATTGATTTCCTGTATGCGTGTTTCATTCAATTTCTGTAACTTCATTTGCAACTCTTCAACCTCTTTTTCAATTTTCCTTATCTGTGAATCAACATAGGATTATTGGCATCGTTGTCCATAATATAATTTCAAGGACAAATTTAATATAGCATTTAATTTCATATTACTTTTTCTTCGTTATCTAGTTTCTTGTTTTGCAAGTCAGACTCCAACTTAGTTATTCTTTTGGTTAAATCCTCGATGCGACTCCTAAGATCGCTTTCTATCATTTTCCTAGCACGAAATTCGTGTTCTCTTTCTTCTGAAATTTCTAAAAATTGACAACGCAGACGCATCATTTCTGCTTGGTGCTTCTCATCCTGGTTATTTAACACTTCTAACTGCAATTTTGCCTAAAAATGTACATGTATATACAACATCTGAATTAACGAATTTCGAATTTTTGTTTATTAAGCGTTTTCTACCATTATCTCGATGTCTTTCTTATATTGGTCATCCACTTCCACTTGTTTTTTATGCAGTTCCTCTAGTTGCAATTCCAATGCCTCCCGATTTTCTTTGATTTCCTCAATTAATTTCTCGTATTCTTGTATGGTTTTGTCTTTATTTTCGCATTCTATCTGAAGATCTGCTAGTTGGTGTTCCGATTTATATTTTAATTTGTTGTCGCTGGCCATAATGAGTGCCCGCGGCTTTGCCTTTGAACATGGTCTTGTAGTAATTTTTTTTCGCGGAAGCTGTGGCTATGGAAATTGAAGATTATATTCCGTTAAAATTTCAATATTTTCTGCAACATTTACGCAAACAATTAGAAATTTGGAAGCTGTCGTTAATAATTGCTTAAACTATATCACGCAACACAAGTTTCTTGTAACAACAATTACTTAAACAAATTACTTACATTCAATTGCTTTTGTTGAATTTAATGATTGAAATAATTATTTAAACGTACGTCAATGGAAATATTTAATCTCTTCTTAACGTGACCGCTAAAATAGATCGAGTCTGAGCTTTCAAAATATTAAACATATAAATTTATTCTTTGACTATGAAACATTTTTTTATGGTCAATATGATAATAATATTTCAATTCGAGGTTTTGCATTGGCATAGTTTAATTATGCGATTAAATAATGTAATTACAAAATATTAACGTCCTATTAATAATAGATATTATATTAACTGTTATACGAATTAAAAAGGAGTTCAATTGCGCAAAGTGATTCCAAATTTCTAATAAACATTACATACAACAGACGTATGTATATTTTTCTCACCGTTCTGAAACCTGCTATCGCACTAGTGCTTTTGCCGGAAACAGACAAATTGCATTCAGCACTGACTACGCTTTTATTATCGTGAAATCTCTCGGTTTTTTCGATTACAGGCCCTTTCACCTTTGTTTCGAATTTCGGATTGTACGCTCCTGGTGGTGGAACGTTGTCTGCAAAGTTTTGTTCTTCTTATTATTCATAAATTATAAAAGGATATGTGTTCATTAGATTCGCCGATTCTTTGAGTTTCGATATATTGGCTAGAAGAATTGCCGATCGCACGGGGAGGGATGGAACCCTTGTTCAACGGGTGCTTAACGGGAGAAACGGTCACAATCGGAGGGGAGGGGAGAAGTTTTTAAATGCAAGGGACACGTCATCATGGGAAACTATTCGCTTCGCAGTACACCGTCAAGGTGGGCACGTTTATATGGGGTCATAGAATTATGTTCCAGGTGCGCCCAGTAACGTCTCCACCCTTCTTGCAAGTTCTTATTACGAAACTGACTACCAATCCACTTCCTTCCATACCCACCTTCTTTACACTCTCGTATAACATTTAAGTGTACCTCGACAGCATTTTATTCTTTTTAAAAAAAATTTTACATAAATGTTGCAATTAAAACTAAATGACCAAAAAGAAATTGAATATGCTGTGACATCATATAAAAAAGAAGAAAATATATGTGATTTTGATAAATAGTAATAATAAAGTAAATAATAAAATTAGACGATCTGTTACACTTGTGAAGAGCGTATGAGATTATATTATCGAATAATTAACTAGCAAAAATAAGCCACGTATGAAGATTTAGTAATAAATAAACCACAATCCTTTACTTTAACAACTCTTTATTCTATGTTTTAATGTCTACAAAATAGTCGATCATAATCATCATACTAAAATCCATTTCAGTTGCAATTTATTGCAAATTCATAATAATTATCATGTGAAATACTTCAATGTCATATTTCATCTGAAGTGAAAGAAGAAATATTCTGATCAAACCATCCTAAATAGAAAAGATTATATGATAGAAATCGAGGCAATAAAACACTAGGAGATTTCACTAGGAAATTACACGGATGGTAACTGTATTATTTGCAAAATATTGGTATCATAAATATATTAACTTGGAAAAAGTTTCTCTGTGCAGCGAAGGGTGTGATACAGATAATGTTACATAGGTACTTACTTTTGAATTCGTTGAACCTCTGGATCTTGGCTTTTGAAAACGACATAGTGAAGTATTTAAATTAAAACTACACAAATAATAATAAAAAAGTGTAACTATTGAAAATAAACCACGGATAACATTTAACGAATAATTCGAATTTGAAAAATAACTTAATTGATGAAGAATGTCAGACGTCCTCACCCATCAGACTCTAAGCCGCGAATGCGAAGTAAAAATTTCTTTGCCCACCCGTCGCAAACGTTCCCTCGTGCACAATGACCTACACCGGTTTTCTGATTTGAAAAGACAGTTATTCAAGCCCCATGCGGATGCAACAACGAATCGTCGAGCTGCTATTGCGCAACGAACCAATCCAGCAACGGGTGTCCCACCAATGCACTCAGTAGCGTAGTAAGTTTCCCCATCGCCATCACCGTTCTACGAAAATTTCAACTGACACAGGTGTTCATTTGTCATTTTAGAACTATGAATGTAAGCATAATCGATTAACAAAAATTTATCGAATCGTGCACGAATTAATTATAAACCAATATGTATCCATAATTAATCATTGTTAGGAAATCAATGTGTATAGAGTTTCAGAAAAAATGAAGAAAAATAAAAGTTTTATTGAAATACATGTAACGTATAATAGTAACTAACATGAATTGCTATTAAATTTAATCTTGAAATTGTAGCAATTTTATCGATGACAAATTTATTTCGATTTTTTACCAAAAATAGTAGAAGTGTACGATCAGAAAATACGTCCCTGGATTCGGCAGGAAAAAAAAGAAAATTTTCCCGCGTAATAATTTCCTTAGAATTGAAAATTGAAGATTAATATTTTTCGATAGCTGTGGAAATTGTGCATCAAATATATACATCGTACAAATACTGTAGTTATTGCTCTTTTTAAAACATTGGCTGAAATGGGGACAACGGAGTTAGTGAAAAATATTCTCGTTTTGGCGGGTGTTACATTGCACGAAGGAAACAGCTGTTTGTGGATGCATCGAGTCTCCATGGGAATGTGAAATTACCAGGTGTCCTGTAACGTCCTCACCTCTCACTGTCCCTGCCTTCGTACCCCTGCAATAAAATGAAACCCGTGACTCCCCTGCCCTCCTTCATTCTCATATTGGCATTTAAAAATTAAATGTCTCTGCAGTGCATTCTGATTAATTTTGGTATATATGTATTATGTTTTGTCATGCATGTAGGTTTTTATTGGCATTTAACACTGAACAATTTTAGTACGTTAAAACTGTTTTGAATATAGAAATAATAATACTAATAATAATAAATAAGAACATATAAGAATTATAAAAATTTATTCAAATGTGTTCAATTTAATTATTGCAGTATTTCAGAGAAATATAGTCATGGGCGAGATACAAGAAACAGACCATGGACAAAATAATGCTGCAGTAGAGAAACGTCTGGAAGAATCGGCGTGTGTAATGCGGTTTTTGTTTACCTGACTTAACTCGTACAAATATTTCATTTAATCTTACGTACGATTTCGGATGATTCTTTTGCTTGATGTGATTGTTTATATTATATCTACAACTATTTTTATTAAAACATGATTAATAAACACAAACAATATAAGAAAACATGTTTATAAGTTATAAAAATACGATTTTGATTGATCCATGAAGGTGAACATTTTTATATTTATTAATGTACAAAATAATATTCATAGATATGAATTATTATATTATACAATAATAAATAAAATAAAATTTAAAACAATGAAAGTAATAATATTTATTTTATCATGAGATAAATTATTCAAATTGAAGTTATAAAGACGACGATCAACTTTAATAAACTGACATTTTGCAGTACAAAATATCCCATTTTAATTCATTTGCACATTCGTCTCTCAA